AGTTGGGAGGAGGATAGAAGGGCTAGTTCGAGGGGCTAGCTTGATGATTCGGGTATACCCATCCACCACCCCCGTGTCCCGCTTTACCCTTGAAAGCACCTCCGGACCAACTCAAACCAGGGAAACAGTTCCTGCATGTCAATTTTGCCGTTCATCTGCAGGAACGCTGCCACGTGGTCCGTGGACATCTTTGCCTGGTCGTTCCGGCTCTTCGGGATCAAACGAGCGAATTATACCAATTACCGAATATGGATTGTTGCAAACACTATTGGGTTGATGCAGTGTCCAATCAACGAGGAACTACTGTTCCAGAAAATGTGTTCACCCTTGGTGTAACCAACGACAGATCCGCCCACGTAAGTAAATGCGTGAAGGTTGGGGGCTTGCTTGACGGGTGTTTACTCACGCAGACGACCTGGCAGCTAGTGCACAACAAGGGCATGATATGATAGAAGTATTCATATTCAATTATCCAGGTTAATGGCGGCTATCTACCTAGGTTGTTACACATGCCTGAATGCCATTCATCATATGTATGTATGTACCATTACAGACCTGTTAGCATTCCTTCAGGCCATGAGCCATTTATGCATTATTTACAGGGAAGGAATTGTTCTAAACTCCTGCTTAGATCTGTACATATCTTTGTTACCAAATATCGCTCGACAATATGAAACAGCACATGTAAAAAGGGCCATGAACACCTTCAGGTGTCCAAAATATTCCCATTTTGTCCTAGTAAACCTGATTTGAAAGGCATACCTGAATGAAAAGAAGGTATTCACAAGCTTATGCGGCTTCCAGAATCGCAGCTCCAGAGATCCTAGTCACCAAACCCCCCAAAAAGGAAAGGGTACTACTATTAGCAAAACGCCATCCCAACCCTGCAGCAGACAAAACCAATACAAGCGAACAAAAGACGAAGCACTTACACAAAAGAGCCATTCGATGGTTTGCTAACAACCATAGCCTGCTCCAACATCTCCGGACTAAGATCCGGAAACCTCTGAGAATAATACTCTCTCTTCAACGCCTCCATCACATCCGCAACTTTGTCCTGCGGAACCATATGGACAGTGCATCCACCCCAACCGGCCCCCGTAATTCGACTCCCTAACGCACCAGCCCGCAGAGCAATCTTGCAAATCTCATCCACCTCGGGACAAGTACAGTCGTACAGCTCTTGGCAAGAAGCCATGGACTCATTAAGTAATTGGCCCAGGTATTGGACATTGTGATTGTCCAGATGGCCCTGGTGTTGAGACCGGGCAAGACAGGCCTTGAAGTCCAGGACGCGTCTTGCTTCTTTGAAGCAATGCAGGGCACGTTGGCGGAGGAAGAAGCGCTCCGCTTGCACGGGGAAGGTGGAGAGGAATTGCTTCTCGAGTTCTGGGACGGATATTTCTAGCAGCGCAGCAATGTCTTCACGCGTATAGCCTTCTTCCCTGGTCAGGTAATCTGCGGCAGCCATGATAATGGAGTCGAGTTGGTATTCCTGAGGGTCTTGGAGACGGCCTTCTTTGCGCATTAGTTCTTCTTGAAAGTTACGCAGGCTGTAACCTAGCGAGCTGGAGTCCTTGGGGAGCGTGAGATTGTGCATCTTGGCAAGGACGATGGTGGCTAAGGTGCATTCTGCGACTCGCAGGTTGTAGTGACGTGGAGCGGTTTCGGCTTTGTTGGATGTGATGAAGCTTTGGGCAACTAGGAAGGTTATTTCTGGCTCTGATTTCGGAATGGGGACGTGTTGGATGTGGAAGGTTGGGAAGAAACGGACGTAGAGGAGGTATCCGCGACGGGAGAAAATGGACGCTGCTTGGTCCATTCTGGGAAGGGTTTGGTCAGACATAATATATGCGTTTTATTGGGTGAGGGATAGCGTACCCTCCAGAATATACTCCAACAGCACGCTCGGAAACGAGAGCTATATCCTGAAGCTCCTGCTTCGAAATATCATAGCCATTGGCCTTTACTCCGGCCAGCGCACTGGAGCAGACGAATGCCGCGCTGCTGGATATTCCTCCTCCGGGGGGAACATTGCCATCCACCAGCACCTCAAAACTAACAGGAGCAAAGTTCCCAGACTTATTCTTTTCCCGCAGGCATTTCAATGCCACCCGCAGGCCTGCCTTAAAATAATTAACCCACTCATGCTTCTTGGGATCAATTTCGATATCGCTATCTTTAGGAATAGTAAACTGGCTAGCGGGAAACTTGGCATCAGTGATATTGGCCACTTTAGCCCACGATTCTTGATTCTTTTCTGCAGGATGAATCTTGATACCAATCAAAACATCAACGCTGACAGCAGTTGGAAGGACATCGTATAGTGAATAGTCGATATGTTCACCAATTATATTGATTCTGCCAGGGCTCCGGGCGACAAAATCCGGAGCCGCACCATACAGCTTTTTGAATTGGGCAATGAAATTGTTCCAGCGGAGTTTCTGGTCGGAGGAAACGCTAACTCCACTCCCAGGATCGTTTGAGTAGACGTCTGTTATGGATTGGGTCTGCGGGACAAGCTCCTCGTTTGGAGCTTCCATGGTTATGATGGAATGGCGGTATATCGGGGCCAATGCGGGGAGTGGGGGGGTCAGCTCACACAAAACTAACACCCAGCAACAAAGGCCACTGGATCTGCAATTGGTTTACTATTGTTACGATAGGAATGGAGATTGAGAGGTAAACAATAGGAGATTAGATCTTTTCCTAGATTACCCGTTCCCCTATTATTAAAGCTTGCATGCGTGGTAAAAGAGGGGGATAGATTTTCTATCTGCGCGGGGTTGGGTCCAACCGCCAAGAAAATGGGCTCTACTTGCACGTGATCCCACCGACGACTGCACCATTCAAACAGGAAACCCACGGACCTGATCCATGGAACCGACTTAGCAATGCCAGCTGGATCTTGGGAGCGGGAGCTTCAGCCTTGGATTGGAACAAAGATTAACTAATGGTAACTAACTAACTAACTAATTAATTAGTTTTTGGCTGCCGAAACAATTCTGCAATTTAAAACAAAAACTATCGTAAAAACAGGAAATATTCCCGAAAGTATTTTCTCCCCAAATGACATTTACTCCACATATGACATATGGTATTAAAAAAGCAAACAGAAATGAATAAGCAAGGCGGTGGTCAAGTTGACAGAAATGATGAAAGTGGAGAGCAAACGAAATAAAAAATAACAAAATAAAAAAATAAGCGACAGTTGATGGAACCGCATTACGCGCCATGCAAAAGACAACAGAACTCCCAAACGGATTCAGACACACTTCCTCCCAAAAAGAGAGTAAAATAAAAAAGATGTGGGAAAAAAAAAAAAAAAAAACCATTGAATATAAACATAGGAAAATTCGGAGGGGTGGCGGGAAATTGCGAATCCGCTATATATAATCGGGCACACTGGGCAGAAACTGCGAATAGGAGTATGCTGCATTCATGAGCGTGGTTGTTTATCTCAGAGTGAGGCTGTTCAAGACATTGGCTTCTGGGCATATATGCGGTGGCTGCAGCACTGATTAGCTTGTGAACCCTATTAACCCTATGCCGTAGGAATAAAACTTTGTTCCTTACAGAACGGTATATATATGGTAATCCATATTCTTAAGGTCGTTCCTTGCCCCAGCAAGCAGGGCTTGTATCATGATGTTGTCCCAGTTCAACATCTTTGTAAACAGAGCAAGAGCATAGGGCTCTAGAGACTCCGACATGGCCATCTGCATATAGTTACCGAGCTTCCTCTGTTTCTTATCCGTTGGCCAAGGTGATAATGGTATCTTTCGATTGTCCTCCCCAATATTCTCGAAACCTGCAGTCTCCACAAATCCCCGGAAGTCCCTTGCCACGTTTACTGGCTTGCCGAACAACTCCGACGCTTCTCCCAAGAGGGTCTGAAACTGATTATAAGCTGACGATTCAGGGAGGCTGTTATCATCAGTTGAAGCCCACGCATCAAATTCGACCAGTTCGATCCAACCTCCTGGTACCAGGTTGTCATATGCTTGCTGTAGTAACCGTGGCCAATCCTTTATCGATCCGCCCATACCTCGGATATGGATGAACTCAAACAGATGGTTATACTGCCAGTCCTCCTCAGCGTCGTCAACCTCGAACTGCAGGTTCTCAGGGATGTAGCCCGGTTGTATGGCAGAAAGATCTGTACCGATGACCTTGGCTGTGGGGTGGGCATCCGCAAAATCTATAGCCCACTACCCCCGAGGTTGTCAACAAGTTAGTATGCCGTAGCTAACTACAAGTTACAGACGCCGGAACGGGGGATTTGCTCACAATCCCTGTGCCACATCCAACATCTAGGGTGCGCCCAATGTTCTTTGGAATGGGGGCACTATAGAGCTTTTCGTCGTAGCTGAGGAGAAACAAATGGTGCATCAGATCCAAACGTTCCTGTTCCTCCTCGTCGTTCGGCATGAAGTATTCCCCAGCATGGTAGGCATGGTATCTGCGATGTCCGAAATATCTACAGACATTGCGACAATCGGGTGTTAGCTCTTCAGATCGAGACGGATACCCACACGTCAAGAATAATACGAGACAGGAAAGTAAAGGAAAATAAAACAATACTAACTCGTGATTTCGAATCGTCGAGGTGAGGGAATATGTTTCCTCTTCGTCCATGAGAGCGAAATAGACCGGCAAAGGATTCGATAATTGTTCGATCAAGAAGGGATATCAACGAGTATTAATATAAATCATGGGTTTCAGACAGTGGTGCACAAGCGGTCTCTTCGTGCTTCCCGGTGGTTTGGTTGATACCAAGGATGTGGTTTCCCCATGCTCCTCGCAGGAGACGGGGTGAACGATGAAACTGGCTAGCGGCAGCTAAGGCACAAGAGAAAGATAAAAGAATGCCACGCACTTCTCGGCCAGTTAGCTGGAGCCTCTGTTGGTTGATCAGAGCCGTTCCACCCTATGAAGAGGCAAGAAATTGGTGGTGAGAGGACCTCTTTTGGGGGGGCTTGGGCACCGACTGGGTAGATATGGCGATTCACGTGACAGAATATTGGGCCTCCGATTATTTCTCCAAGCTTGAACCTTTTGTGGGCCGTTCGGAGCTTGTGGAGAAGCGGTCTGTGATGGAGGAATCTTTTTTAGGAGAGGCTGGGGTGGTTTGGGAGTCGGGGAGTTGGGAGTCCGGGACCCCAACAGGGAACAATGATGGGAATCGATAACCCAAACCCTTTCTAGCCTCAAGAGGTGGTCGGAGCGCTGACACCCAAGAGAAAAACAACCTAAAACTTAAGGATACTTATTATCATTGTTCTTCAACATCCTGTCAAACATCATGTCGAATCAGAGCAGGGCTTGAGACAGAGACAAAAGCCCTCTCCCGGCGTGATGGAAAGTAATAGCCGTGGCAATTGCCCGACCCCAGACCGTAACACCTTGCATTAAGAACGAACGGAAAACCTCAGGGTGTCCCACTGTGGTGGCTACAAGTTCCAATCCTGAAGGACCAAGCCATCCTAGTCCTGAAGCTATGATTTGCGAATGCTGGTCCAAGTCTGGCAGGCTGGAGCACAAATCGGTAGCAAATGCAATTCACATCCGCTGCTCCAACGCCCCTTGCCAAATCATCCACATCAAAAACTCACCCACCCCCGAATTATGATCATCTGCTCAAACTTCCCAATCCTGAAATAACGCTGCGTTTAAGTTCCCGTTTGGTGCCAGCAGTCACCCTACGAACGCAACCTGGCTTGAGAGAAACAGATTCATTGGTTTCTGCAAGACCCATAAGTCAGGAAAAGGCGCTCTCAATGGGACCATGGCACAGGAAGCTTCTGGGTCCTTGCACAATATGATTATTCTTCATCATACCGTTCCATGGGCTTATGGCCTGTGACCTTGCAACAACTTCAGTGAATCGTTCATGATGTCCGTGCCAGTTTTGACGATCTTAAATGCTACTGCAACCTCCACCCTATTAAGTGCGGAGTATTTTTATCAAAGATAGACACCGCAGAGATTTCATATGTGCCGTCTGTGTGTGTGTGTGTGTGTGTGTGTGTGTGTGTGTGTGTGTGTGGAGCGTGGACAAATACGCCGCCCCACGCACTCCGATGTCCTGTGTGGAGTTGCAGGCCCTGCGGTTTGCCTTCTTGCGTGCTTGCGGCATTGCTGCCGAACGTGCTGATGATACGTTCACATCCTCGGTTAGAATTTGGTAAGAAAGACCCATGGGTCCCATGGATTTCGTATTGACAGATACTGCGGAGGGGCTAAACTGGTTTTGAGAGTTGATTTCAGCCATTCAAAAGGCTCTGTGTCAAAATCTTAGTCTACGTATGCTAGTCTGCTCGATGTCCATAGTCTAACGCTATCAGTTCGCACTAACCCCACAGGAGAGAGGAGGAGAACCACCGGAGAATTCCGAGAAACCACACGGTCCTTTTCTTCATCTCAGAAAACCCAGCTTGTCGGGTCAGCAAATATTGGGAGAAGCGTGAGATAAAAGTAAACAATAATCGTGGGCAGCACTTCCCGAAAATTTGGATACAGAGTTTGGGCCTTTTTTAGGGATCCCTCGCAAAATTCGTCGGGGCCCCTGCACTCCACATGCAGCTTCAATGCAGCCTCTGCAGAGAGTGGGCACAAGAAGCTCCGGTCTACCAGATTACCACCAGAGTAGCCGTGACGAGGATTTTGCTAGCGCTGACACTATCTAAGGTACTTTATGAAGGATTCCTTGCTGCCTCGCTGCTTATTAGCACTGCTAAAAACAAACAAACAAACAAACAAATAAATAAATATAAATATAAATATAAATATAAAGAAAGAAAGGAAGGAAGGAAGAAAGAAAAGAAAATTAAAATATAAATAAAAAATAAAAGATACCCGCAGCCCAAGTTCTTAGGAAGTCGTGGAGCAAAGAGGAAAACAAAATGCACATAATCAATCCATATTATTAGTGTATGTATATCCCACGACATGAGGCTTCAAATTCTCACATCCATCAAAATAATATAATAACTACTATTATGTGGTCTTGAAACTGACGCTGCTATGGCAGGATGAAGAAATGAGATATCCATGGACATCATACATGTACATGGGTTAGATACCACCGTTTTTCGACGGGTCGTTAACTAATAACTAAATAATGTTACCACCATCAGTGGTAATTATTAGTTGGCTACTGCTTTCTAGAGGAAAACGGGGAAGATATGGTCAATGTCCCACATACATTTCTCATTCCCAACAACTATTGTTGTGCTCCATCTTTCTATATTGTCTATGTTTTTATCCACACATGATATGAGATGCATCCATGGATCTATCTGTCTTCGATTCTGATACGCAGATATTTTAAAACTCTGTTGTTTCAATTGCCCAGTCAGGGACTGGGATGCAGGTCCTGCGGCGTTACTCTCGGCCCGAAAAGTTAGCCCATCCCTGGATGCGAGTATAGACGTTTGGAGATCCGCGACTGAACTCTATTCTTACAATTTCCTAGACTCCCCGCTTTAGGCCGCAAGCTTAGAAGAAGCTAGTTGGAGCAAGAAAGTGACGAATTGATTCCAGAGCATCTTGCTAACATGACGTGGCTCCAGCATTAACACCTGTATGAAGCACCCTCCGATACCCACTGCAAGACTAAGGGGTTCTATCATCATCTGAGGAACAAATACCCTCGTTTGTTGCGCTTGCGGAACTCCTGGTCTCTCCATAAATAGCCCCGCACCCGTTTAAGTTACCACTGCCTTAGTCCGCCGGGATTGTTCCTAACTTGCTGCTAGGGAGCAATACGTGGCCTGAACTGATTGATTTTGAGGCTGAAGTTGAGGATTCGGATGGAGGTGGTGCGGTCTAGTGGGAGGAAGGGGGAGGGGTAGAGTGCAGAGACAAATTGATTCAGAAAGATGTGGGACCTGCTTATTGCAAGTATATAGGCTGGGTGATATCACCGGACGAGGAATATCCATGATGTTCTTGAAACCACCTGCGGAAAGGGGGATGAGGTTTTCCACCACCAAGAAGACAGAGGATCCGATTATATACATCAAAGGCACATGCATCAGAAGTTGGATCACCGTCAAGCCTTACCCGCTTTCTATTTTTAGAGTTTAGCTTCGTCATGCGTGATTCTGATATAATCCCGCTAGCCATCATCGGATTTTCAGCACGCTATGCGCAGGAGGCAAGCACTTCGGAAAAGTTCTGGGAATTTTTGCTTAGGGGACGTCAATCGACAACTCCAATCCCAAAGGATCGTTTCAATGCAGCTGCATATTACCACCCTGACTATGATCATGGCGGAACGGTTCGTTTTATATATCAAAAGCGTCGGCATCTACAGGAAGGAATTATGCTAAAGGTTCCCTGCAGTTTCATGTCAAGGGCGGGCACTTCCTGTCGGATGACCCCCTGGGCTTCGACGCGGGCTTTTTCCGTATCAGCCACACTGAAGTTCTCACCATGGACCCTCAACAACGCCTTGTGATGGAAAATGTGTACCACGCCCTTGAGAATGGTAAGAATTTGACCTTTTTTAAGGGATATATTTCAAAAGTTCTGACTTACTTTCAACTCAATAGCCGGGATTCCTATGGAGAAAGCAGTGTCCTCTAGGACCTCGGTTTTTGCTGCTGGTTTCAACCATGATCACAGGAATCTCCTGAATGCAGACGTTGAAACCTCAATGAAGCACAAATCGACTGGCTCTGAGCAGTCTATCATTTCAAACAGAGTCAGCTGGTTTTATGACTTTCACGGTCCCAGTATGACAATTGATACCGCATGCTCCAGTGGACTTGTTTCCCTTCACCTAGCTGTTCAGAGTTTGAAGTATGGTGACAGCGAGATGGTGCATATTCCGTTTTATTAACTGGTTTATCCGTATTTACCGTGCTGTGCTAATAATATCCTCTAGGCTGTTGTGACTGGTGGGAGCGTCATTACTCATGTTGGTGACATTATCGCATTTAGCCATGCTGGCGTGCTTTGCCCCTCAGGGAAATGTTACACCTTCGATCACAGAGCCGAAGGTTATGCCCGCGGAGAGGGGGTGGGTACCGTTATTGTCAAGACCTTGTCGGACGCTCTGAGAGATGGAAATACAATCCGTGCTGTGATACGTGGAACCCTTGCGAATCAAGATGGCCGTACGCCAGGCATTTCGCTTCCAAGCGCTCAAGCACAGGAATCCCTTATTCGCCAATTATACAGCAATTCGAAACTTGATCGAAAAGACACTCTGTTTGTTGAAGCACACGGGACCGGCACGCCAGTAGGGGATCCCATAGAGGCCAGGGCTATTTCCAGCGCCTTCGATACGGACCAGCGTCAGGAGCCACTGTACATTGGTACGTTGAAAGCAAATATAGGTCACCTTGAAGGCGGCGCAGGAATAGCCGGGATCATCAAGTCAATTCTGATTCTGGAAGCCGGAATTATACCTCCAAATGTGAATTTTGAAAAGGTAAACCCCAATATCCCAAAGGATAAGTGGAATATCGAGTTTCCTACAGAATGTCTCCCTTGGCCCAAACCAGGTGCTCGTCGGATATCAGTTAACTCATTTGGTTTTGGTGGAACTAACGCACATTGCATTTTGGATGATGCGTATCACTTCCTCAAGGAACAAGGTCTCACTGGCACCCACCGTACTCGCATATCTGTGCCAACTGTTTTTGAAATCAACAAGCTGGTTACTTCCCTCAAGAAAATTTACAAAGACAAACCTGGTCTTGTCAATGGAGTCGCGAAATTAACCAATGGAAAAGCCGTTAACGGAACGAACGGAGAGATTGTGAATGGAATCAACGAGGAGATTGCAAATGGAACTCATGGGAAGGTTGTTAATGGAACTAGCAAACATACTGTCAATGGCACGAATGGGAAGACTATGAACGGCTCTCATGATATATCCAAAGCTTCGGCTAAAGACGAGACACCAATTCCTCGCCTATTCATCTTATCCGCATTTGACAAGGAAGGCGTAAAGAGGACCGGCTCAGACTTAACGGATTATCTTCACAAAAGACAGTCCTTGCCCTTGGATGATGCAAAGAATTTCCTAAATGACCTAGCTTACACTGTTTCTCAAAGGAGATCAGATTTTCGATGGAAAAGCTACGTGATAGCAGACTCAATCCCCGAGCTGGAAGAGAATCTATCCGCTATGAACGCTCGATCCAAACCCACAAATAAAGATCGTCCGCCCAGAATTGGCTTTGTCTTTACTGGCCAAGGTGCTCAATATCATGGGATGGGGAAACAATTCATGATATACCCCGTTTTTCGAAGGAGCTTGGAGGACGCGACAGCATACATGAAGACGCTTGGAAGCCCATGGTCTCTAATTGGTATGTATTATCGGCTGTTCAGGAGCGGAGGATTATGGGTTTCTTTTTTCTTTTTTTCTTTTTTTCTTTCTTTTTTGCTAATTATGATCCAGACGAGATTATTCGTGACAGTGACAGTTCAAATATTCATACCCCGGTCATTGCCCATCCTGCCTCTACCGCTATCCAAGTTGCTCTTGTGGAACTTCTGGCTTCTTGGAATATTTATCCTTCTCGTGTAGTTGGACATTCCTCAGGTGAAATTGCCGCAGCGTATTGCGCCGGTAGGATATCCAGTGAATCCGCATGGAGGGCTGCTTATTATCGTGGGTTCGTCTCTGCAAAACAACAAAGTGTCCCTGGTTCTATGATCGCAGTTGGTCTGAATCAGGAGACGCTTCGGTCGTATATGGACAAAGTACATGCCAGTATCAGAGGGGAATTAGTTATTGCATGTTTCAATAGCCCGAGAAACAATACCGTCTCCGGTGACGAGGTGATGGTCGATGCTCTGAAGGAATTACTCGACGCTGAAGATATTTTCGCACGCAAGCTCAAAGTCCAAAACGCCTATCATTCATCCCACATGCGAGAACTTGCCGAAGAATACTTGCAGTTGATGAGTTCACCCGCAGCAGGACAGCTTTTCAATTCAGAACATGATATTCAGATGTTTTCGACAGTTACCGGGAAGCGAAACAACGACCCCGTCCTTGATGCTTCATATTGGGCAGAAAATATGGTGTCCCCTGTCCGCTTTACTGATGGTTTGCGTTCTATGCTCTTCAAAGCAAACGAAAGCGACCCTGAGTCTGGCAAATTCGACAGCGCCTGGATAGATGAGATCATTGAAGTGGGCCCTCACTCAGCACTGCAAAGTGCTATTAAACAGACGATTGCAGCCAATGCCTCTGCACCTCCAGTTTCATATACCTCCCTCCTAAATCGCCAAGACCCCACCACCCGCACGATGTTGGAAACTGTTGGAAACCTAAGCTGTAAAGCGGCTCCCATCAACATATATGAAGTCAACCACGGTTTCGAACGAGAAGAGGGGCAAGTGCGGAAACCGGAGTTACTTGTCAGTCTCCCACCATACTCCTTCAACCATGACGAGAAAGGCTACTACGAGAGCAGGATGAGCAAAAGAATCCGTTTCCGCGAATTTCCACGACATCAACTTTTTGGTGCGCCTGTACAGGACTGGAATCGCCAAAACCGCAAATGGCGACATTTCTTAAGAACTTATGAGAACCCTTGGCTGAAGGAGCACGTGGTAGGTGACATCCTGAGCGCATAGCTAGTAACAGTGAATTTAGGAGTGCTGATATCCTCTTTCCAGGTTACTGGACGTTATGTTCTTCCCGCAGCTGCATATCTGACGATGGTGACTGAGGCTGTAAGGCAAGTCACCGGTGATGCAGTTAAATTAACCGGAATAAGGATGAAGAATGTGTCCATAAAATCGGCCCTTGTGGTTCCTGATACGAAAGAGGGTGTCGAGGTGTCCTTATCCATTCACCCCGTGAACGAATCCAACCACTGGGAATCTACCGTGTGGAAATGGTTCCAGGTATCTTCGTACATCTCAGCTCATGATGATTGGATTGAGCATTGCTCGGGTTATTTTTCTGTGGAATATCAAGCTCCTCCGGATCCAATCGATAATGGTCGCGAAGCTGAAGCAGATATCCAGTCCTGGAAAAACGAATTAGAGCAAGGTGCAAGGAGTTGCCAAAAGCCGCTGGATATTGGAAAACTCTTTGACAATTTTGAGGCCGTCGGACTCAAATATGGCCCTCTTTTCAAAAACTTGTCGGAAATTACAGTTAACGATCAGCAAAGGGGCGTCATCGTGGGCAAATTTGCAACCCCGGAATTGGCGTCTTCAATGCCAAAGAATTACATGGATGCTCATGTCATCCATCCTGTCACGTTGGACAGCGTGTTTGTCGCTGGACTCGTAGCAATCTGTGACCACGGAGGACAGGCTATTTTGAAGAGGCCGATGGTACCGACTTTTATCAAGGAGTCATGGATTTCCACAGATAACGATTCCCAGGCAGGAACCTGTTTTCGCTATTACGGACAAGCCTCACCAGAAGCATACGATTACTATAGTTTTGACCTCAAATGTTCCGATGAATCCAACGATCAACCGCGAGTATCTCTGACGGGAGTTCGATTCATGCCTCTATCAGATGAGGATGCTTCCATGAGCGGCACACAGCAACATGGTTACTTAATGGATTGGACCCTGGATATCGACATGCTGGAGACACCAGAATTCCGCGATTCGGTATCTGTTGAACCATCAACGTCCTACGAGGAGCAACAAAATTTGTTCGAAAGGTTGCAGCTCGCATCAGCGCTTCTTATAACTGATGCACTCAATGAGCTTAAGAATATCCCAGTACAGCCTCCTGAGGGCCATTTTCAGAAGTATTACGAATGGATGCACCGGATTGCCGACGATGTCACTGCAAACTCAGTTGCCCACGCCCCGCATAACTTATGGAAGAAATATGCTGAGGATCCAAGTCTCAAAGAGGAGCTCTACACCGAAGTCTCAAAGCTTAATCTGGATGGACAACTTATGATTCGCCTCGGCAGACAAATCCCAGCTATCATGCGGGGTGAAGTTGATCCACTGTATCTGATGTTTGGTCAAGACGACATAATGACCTCGTATTATGAGGAGGTTTTGCATGAGGGCGACGCTACAGAGAATTTGGATGCATATTTGACTCTCTTGGGTGAAAATTACAGCGACCTTGAAATCCTTGAAGTGGGAGCTGGAACCGGAAGCTTTGCCAGACTTCTTTTGGGTATTCTCGCACCCCGATCCGAAAACGAGAATTCTGATTGCACAAACACCGTTGCACAATACACTTTTACGGATATTTCTCCCAGCTTTTTTTCTAAGGCAAAGGAGAATTTAGGCGAATGGACGGACCTTCTGACATTTGAAAAGTTAGATATCGAACGCGACCCAACAACCCAAGGTTTCACTGCCAAAAAGTACGACCTGATTATCGCGCATAACGTCCTTCACGCCACTCCTGATTTAGGTAAATCTCTCGAAAATTCTCGCCGTTTGTTGAAACCCGGTGGCAAGATCTTGGTCCACGAAGTGGTCAGACCCGATATTGTGTGGCCTTCACTTATCTTTGGTCTTCTGTCTGGGTGGTGGCTGTCTAATGAGCCTAATCGCAAGTGGTGTCCTCTTATCACCCTGCCGGAATGGGAGGATCTTCTCCGTGAGAAGGGTTTCTCAGGGGTTGATATCGAGATACCCAATTCACGATATCCAGAGTTTACAAAGCTCAGCTCAATGATTTCCACTGCTCTCCCAGACCCACCTGATGACATTTGCCCAGGAAACGATCTTGTGATTCTTGCCCCCGCGTCCAGATTTGATCACGAGTTTATTTCCAAATTGAAAGCTGAGCTCATGCGAAGTGCTGGTGTTACCAACTGCACTGTCCTGCAACTGCACGAGTTTGCTGGTAAGGATATGACAGGCTCAATTTGCATATCTCTTTTGGAACTCGAGAGCCCGGCCCTGCTTGACATCTCCGAAGATGATTTCCGGTATCTACAACAGTTCTTTTCAACCTGCAAAAGGCTGCTGTGGATAACAGGAGATCCAATAACCCAGCCGGCCTTCAATATGAGTACCGGCATGATCCGCACACTGCGGTGGGAGCGCGATGCAGAGAGCCCGAATTTTGTTACCCTCGCTCTCGGCAGCTCCAGCTCATCCCCAGCTAAATCAGTCCTGAATTCCATTTCAAAGATATTCCGTTATCAGTTCACCAGTGGCCAGACCAAGCACCAAAATGCTGAATACCTTCTGCGGAATAACTTGATCCATATTAATCACGTCTTCCACCATCCTAAAGCAACTGGTTTCTTGCGGTCGAAATTCTCGGCGCTCAGTCCTGAGATGGTTCTATTTAAGGACATTGGACGCCCAGTCAAACTCCAGAACAGTTCACGAGGAGTTCTCAATAAGCTGCAATGGGTAACTGACACTACTTCGACACTGCCACTCGGAGACTTTGATGTTGAGATTGATATTCGCGCTGTAGGACTCAACTTCGTGGATCTTTTAAGCATAATGGGAGAAGGGGTAGGTGATGTTATTGGAAGAGAAGCGGCCGGAGTTATCTCCAGGGTTGGGCCAGGTGTTAAGCATTTGCGGGCCGGCGATCGTGTCACGTATCTCACAGATTCGCCAAAAAAGGGCACTTTCAGAACCCATGGAAGGGTCAACGAATCGCTAGCCGTCAGAATACCTAACGATATGAGTTTTGAAGTTGCTGCTGGGCTTCCAGTTATCTACGCCACAGTTATCTACAGTCTGACCAATGTAGGTAGACTGTCAGCTGGGGAGAGGATTCTGATCCACTCTGCTGCTGGTGGTGTTGGCCAAGCTGCCATTCAATACGCCAAAGAAGTTGGTGCCGAGATTTTTGCTACTGTCTCTACCGTTGAGAAGATGGAGTTTCTCAAGAAAGAGTATGGCATCCTTGAGGATCACATATTCTCAAGCCGAGACACCAGCTTTGTTCAGGGAATTATGAGAATGACAAAAAATTCTGGTGTTGATTTGGTCCTCAACTCTCTTTCGCAAGAGTCTCTTCGGCGATCTTTTGAATGTGTTGCCCCATTCGGCCGATTTATTGAAATTGGGAAAAAGGACTTGCAGGCCGGAGGCAAATTGGACATGAACCCCTTCATTCGAAATATTACCTTCACTGGCGTGGATTTGCTTACTCTTGCGGAATTCAAACCAAAAGAAGTCCGAGAACTTCTCGAGACGACTATTCGCCTGTGGGATGACAATAAAATCAAAGGAGCTTATCCACTAACAATTTTGGGGTACTCTGAACTTGAAGATGGGCTTCGCATGTTGCAATCTGGCAAGAACATAGGTAAATTTGTGTTTGTGGCTAATGAGAACGACGTGGTGCCGGTTATTCCCGAGGTCACATCCCCGTACACCTTTGACCCCAATGCGTCTTATGTACTGGCTGGAGGTCTTGGGGGCCTTGGAAGGAGTTTAGCACAGTGGATGGTGAGTCGCGGTGCAAGGAATTTGATATTCTTGTCACGATCAGGAAAAATCACGCAGCCAGTTCAAGAAATGGTTTCCACTCTAGAAACCAAAGGTTGCAAGATTCGAATCTTTACCTGCGATGTATCCGATTTATCTCGGTTACAAGAAGTCATAGAGGAATGCCAGCAGACACTTCCCCCAATAAAAGGATGTATTCAAGGTTCCATGGTCTTAAGGGTAAGTAATTAAGGTTCTCATGCATGGATTTGCAAATTCTTAAGCAACGATGGAATAAAAGTATTTTCGTGAACAATCGGAGCTAATGGGATGCAGGATTCACTCTTCGAAAACCTCTCATATGCCAACTGGACAGGGACGATCAAACCAAAGGCGCACGGCTCACAAAATCTCCACGATATCTTGCCCAGAGATCTTGAATTTTTCGTGATGCTCTCATCGTTGGCGGGAGTCATGGGTGGGCGCAGTCAGGCCAATTATGCGGCAGGCAACACATTCCAAGATGCGCTTGCCAAACATCGTGTAGCAAACGGGCTCCCAGCCGCCAGTTTCGACATCGGAGGTGTCCTCTCCGTCGGCTTCGTTGCAGAAAATCAAAATTACGCCCGCAATGCGACAAAGGCCATGATTCCAATCCTAGAAGACGAAGTGCACGCAGTTGTGGAATATCTGATAGACCCACGCCATGAAATGACCGAAAGCACCTGCCAGGTTCTCTTTGGCCTAGCCACGAAGAAGTCATCTCAGGAACGTGGAGTCCCGCCACCGGAATGCTTCGACTACCCTCTCTTCACGTTGCTACAGAAATCAAGTGGAACGAAGCAACAGGGGCCTGAAGAGACCGATACCTATCGCGTTGACGCTCTGCTCGGAGCAGCGAGGACCAGAGAAGAGGCGTTTGAAATAGCGCTGAACGGCATATTGAACAAGCTCTCTGTGCTTCTCAATGTGTCCGCGGACCAGATTGACGCTGGCAAATCGACCCGTTCAAACGGTGTTGATTCATTGATTGCTATTGAGTTCCGGACGTGGCTTGCGAAGGAGGCGGGAACTGAGTTATCGCTCATTGATGTTACGGTTGGAGGCAGTATCAATGAGCTCAGCCAGAAGGTCGCAACGTTGAGCAGGTTCGCTGAGGTAACATAAACATGTGATTGAATAGCAGGCGAGCTTAGATGGATGGTAAAGGTGGCATTGGAACTTTTAAGTTATGAGCCCCTTTGTTGGAAGTTATGGACAGGTTGGCATTTGACGTGGAATGGTAATCATGGCAGCATCCAAATTGGTATCTCTTATAATATAGCCCAGAATTCTCCCTTTCTCTTGTTAATATAAACCCCCCCCCCCCAATTTGCTTGGTTTAATCAATTCAACATAAATTTTTCCCAGCTTTTATTCATGCAGAACTTCAACCAGATCCAGCACTTGGTCCAACAGAATAGCTTCATTATTGGATTACGAATCATTTATCCAGTTTGGATATATGATTCTGACGATAGTCCTCGATTTCTCGTAGAAGCGCAGTGTCTTTCTCTCTCTACCCCATGTTTGGCCAGTGGATATCAAATCCGTTGCATGCATGCGTCTATATAATATATATATACACAGTTAAAACGCTTTATAACGATTTAATCTTGGAAGCGTATTCAATTCGTTATATAGAGGAATTCGCTCTATAAAAAATGGTTGTGACAGAATGGCAAGTTTGATTGGATAATAGTCACGTGCTGGAAGGGTCCGACAGAGATTGGTTGCGGCAGGTGCGGGTCTTTGTTTGGTCTTTGTTTGTCCTTTGTTTGTTCCTTCGTTTCCGGCTCGGCCTTTGTAGGGTTGACGATTTACCCGTTGGAACAGTTTGGTTTGACCGGAATGAGTCATTAGATTGATTCATTTCTGGCGTGGGAAGAGCCCACTAGTCCCGATATGGTCTAGCTCACCTCGTGCATCTGCAGATGATCCTTGATGACTCAGCGAATACATGGGACGGGCGGCGTCTTGGCAACGGGAACCCACTTTTGGATCGTTGGGGCGTGAGTCAAAAGCAACTGGCCAATGGCGGCGCCCAATCAGTCCGACTATCGGCATCACAGTCTCTACGGACCCCGATTCTCGCGCCGAATCAGCTGCTGGGCACACACCGGAGGTAACTTTCTGAAGTCAAAAAAGGCGAGTTGAACGATCGCACATGGAGGAGGGAAGCTGTCCAACCACGCTGCAGAATCACGGCGGGCAGTGACTGAGATTTTGATCTCAGCTACAACACTTCGAGGGAGACGAGGATAGAAAGACGCTGAGTTTGCAGCTAGTACAGAGCAAAGGAAGAGCAAGCAAGTAATAATAATACGTACGATTTACAGAGGAACTAGCTCTGGATTGAATTCTGCCCTCTGCCCTCCTCCTCTGTGTCTTTCCTCTCCTGCATTCATTAGTTTAACAACACTTCAATTCATCCTTAAAAACGCCCTATCCTCCGCAATTTGGATCTTACTTCTAACCGAATCACCTCTTTCGCTGCACTTTTCTACGTCTGGCCTTGGCAATTTCACCCCTTGCAAAGATGATGTCCATACGGTCATCAAGGCGTGCGCTGCATGCCCTTTGGTCTCTAAGACCATCATCTGTTTTGTATTGTCCAAGATCATTCTCATCCTCTACTCTTGCTTGTTCACTCTCTTCCCTGATCAATCCGTTGGCTCAATACCCTCCAACAAGGAATGTGTCAAAAAGAGAGCACAGCACTGTTGCCTCTGCTGCATCTTTGTGCGTTGATCCTTTCTTTATATTCTTAGTGCACTGAGTATCACCTGCCTTCAAAAGCTCGTGAATGCTGACTGACCGCATCTGGATAGACAAGTGAGGCCACGTCCTAGTCCTGCTTTTAACCAATATGTCCCTGCAAGTGACATTTCACCTCTCCAAAACCAGAAACCATCAGCTTTAGATGACTCGTACGTTTTACGCTCATCAATTGGCACACCTTGCGCGCCTTGACGTATCTTGTTACTCACGATTCTCTCTAGATTTGTTGGAATGAGTGGAGGCGAGATTTTCCATGAGATGATGCTTAGGCAGGGCGTTAAACATATCTGTGAGTCACCACCAGAATATAAATAAAATGAAAAAGAAGAAATTACATACCTGATCAACTTCCATATGCTAATTACAATCACAATCACAATTGTTCAGTTGGATACCCTGGCGGTGCTATCTTGCCCGTTTTTGACGCCATTTTCAACTCGCCGCACTTCGACTTTGTGCTCCCACGACATGAACAAGGTGCTGGCCATATGGCTGAGGGCTATGCTAGAGCTACAGGAAAACCAGGTGTAGTACTTGTCACCTCAGGACCAGGTGCAACTAATGTTATCACTCCAATCCAGGATGCTTTCTCGGATGGGACTCCCATGGTTGTCTTCTGTGGCCAAGTCGCTACAACTGCCATTGGCACGGATGCTTTCCAGGAAGCAGACGTCATTGGCATATCTAGAGCTTGCACTAAATGGAATGTCATGGTGAAATCAGTGGCTGAGCTCCCAAGACGCATCAAGGAAGCCTTTGAAATAGCTACTGGTGGCCGTCCAGGCCCCGTTCTTGTGGATCTCCCAAAAGACGTGACCGCTAGCATCCTGCAAAAGCCTATTCCCATGAGCAGCACTCTCCCCGCGCAGCCAAGTAGCGCTACCCTTGCTGTCCGTGAACTTAACGCCCGCTACCTGGAGGCAAATATTGGGCGTGCAGCTAAGCTGATTAACATTGCGAAGAAGCCAGTGCTCTATGTTGGTCAGGGTATCCTTGCGCGCCCGGAAGGACCACAGTTGCTCAAGCAGCTCGCGGATAAGGCAAATATCCCGGTCACAACCACTCTTCAGGGCCTAGGTGGATTCGACGAGATGGATCCTAAGTCTCTCCACATGCTGGGAATGCACGGCTCAGCTTACGCCAACATGGCTATGCAGGAAGCAGATTTGATTATTGCCTTGGGCGCCCGATTCGACGACCGTGTTACTGGCAGCATTCCCAAATTTGCTCCACAAGCCAAGGCCGCTGCCCATGAAGAGCGTGGTGGCATCATCCACTTCGAAATGGTGCCTAAGAATGTCAACAAGGTGGTCCAAGCAACGATATCAGTGGAGGGTGACTGTGCAGATAACCTTGCCCTTTTGCTTCCACAGATCAATACCGTCAAGGAACGACCCGAATGGTTTGCGCAAATCAACGACTGGAAGAAGCGATTCCCCCTTTCATCCTACGACAAGCAAACTCCAGACGGCCTCATCAAACCCCAAGCCCTCATCGAAAAACTCAGCGAATTAACCGCGCACATGAAGGATCGTACCATCATCACCACTGGTGTCGGCCAGCACCAGATGTGGGCAGCCCAGCATTTCCGATGGCGCCACCCACGCACCATGATCACCTCCGGCGGCCTTGGGACAATGGGATACGGCCTCCCATCCGCCATCGGCGCTAAGGTTGCACGTCCCGAGGCTCTCGTGATTGACATTGATGGCGACGCATCCTTCAACATGACGCTGACAGAGCTATCAACGGCGGCGCAGTTCAACATTGGCGTTAAGGTTATTGTTCTGAACAACGAGGAGCAGGGGATGGTTACGCAGTGGCAGAGTCTTTTCTACGAGGACCGCTTTGCGCATACTCACCACCTGAATCCGGATTTCGTCAAGCTGTCTGAGGCTATGGGGGTGCAGGCTAGGAGGTGCACGAAACCCAGCGATGTGGAGGCTAGCTTGAAGTGGCTTATTGAGAGTGAGGGGCCTGCTTTGCTTGAAGTGGTTACAGATAAGAAAGTTCCTGTGTTGCCCATGGTTCCTACGGGTAAGGGCTTGCATGAATTTCTGGTATATGATGAAGGTTAGTGACCACACCCTGGCTGTTACTTCTAAACTCTAACCGTGTTTCCTGTTGTTGTTGTTGTTGTTGTTGTAACCATATGACTAACTCGATATCCTTTTTTATCCGCCCTACAGCCAAGGAGAAGGAGAGAAGAGCTCTCATGAAGAAGCGATCGGGCCGTTGAAAATTTCACGTCTTGAAAACTGCACCAGTCAACCAACACCGGGCATTTCACCTGGCGTGTACGCTGCCCGTGACGGATAGACCTGTGTAAGAAGCAGTCCCATTGCATTACTCAGCCTCACTATTTGTATCTCCATTTTTTGATCTCTTTACCTCCCTTTTTGCCTTAAAAGGTTCTTCCCCTTTTCTACCTCCTCTGATATCCCTGGCGTTGTGGAAGGTCAAAACAAAAAGGAAAAAATCACACACGAAAGTTGGCGTGTCGCGTTTAGCCCAAAATATCTTCAAGGCGAAAGGAAGAGCATAGAAACAGGTTGCTCGTGCTTCTTTTCAGCTCTGAAGTGTTGATTCTGGTCAAGAAATGTTTTCAGAAGAAGTTGAACAAGGGGATTTTGTTCACGTCATCTTCATCCCATTTCAAATGTCTGTCCATCCATCCATCCATCCATTGATCTGTATAATGTCTTTTACTGACTGTTTTTTTGTAAATAAGAAGCATTCTCTTTGCTTGATAGCTGTTTTATATAGGCTACTGTCGGCCTGTGGTTTTAAGCTGTAGTGCTCTCTCACCGTTTTCCTTTCTTTTCATTTGTCGATTGATGGGATTTTCGTATTTCTCCCGTACATTACCGGCACATATCCGTTAGATCTTTGTATGCGGTTGTATCTCCATAGCCTCTTTGTCCAAAACTAAAATGAATGGGGCCTTCCCGTACTTAACCCGCCCTTTTTGGCGACTCTTTGGAAAGCTCCGAGGTTTAAAAAAAGATCATATCACGTGACTTCCTTGCCTCTGACGTCTTGAAGCTGTTTTGGGAGAGAGTTGCACAGTAAACCAGCATCAAATATTTTCAAAGAAAGCTTTCTTCCGCCAATACCACTCTACTCCTTGTTACACTACTGCCTTGCTGTGCAGGTAATATGGCGGCCTGAATTACACAATTATTAGAGAGACCTTATTCTCGACGAAGATACCCGTTAGCTGCAACTACATTGATTCATTCCTTCACTTATCTCATTCAGCATGGCATCTTTGCCCCAGCAGCCTCCTGGGGGCAGGCAGCGACCATCTACTGCCCTCCAAACAACTAGCCGCACCACATTATCCGGCGAGAGAGATGAAGCGTCTCAATCCGAAACGGATTCATCCTTTCTTACAACCTCTTCAGACGTCGTTTTCCCGAAGGTTTCGAGAAGTATCGCGGCACAGACACCGGAGACAGAGAACACACTGCATAAATCTGATATACCACCACCACCACAACATCAACAACAACAACAACAACAATCGCAAGAAGGCGAACAACGGGAGCAAAAACAGACAGAACCCCAAGATCCAGCGCCCGCAGCAATGGACGACCCCTCATCCTCCACCGCAATACAAAAAAATGATACTCTTGCCGTTTCCGATCCACGTAAGTGTTGGATCTGCTACACCGACGAAACAGAAGATACCCCAATGAACACGGAGTGGCGTTCCCCATGTCCCTGCGCCCTAACAGCCCATGAAGCCTGCCTCCTCGACTGGCTGGCCGACATCGAAAACCCCGCCTCGCGAAAACACACCGGACGCCCCGCAAAACTTTATTGTCCACAATGCAAATCCGAAATCGTCATATCTCGCCCGCGCAGCTTGGTTGTTGATATGGTCCGGTCCGTTGAGCGGCTAGCTAGTCGCCTGGTGCTTCCGGGAATGGTATTCACGCTGGCCGGCACGGTGTGGGCGGGCTGCTGTGCGCATGGCGTGTATTCCGTGTACTTCGTTTTTGGCTCAGAGGATGCGCAGCGGATATTCCAGACGCGGAGGGACGCGACGTGGAATCCACGGTTGAATTTTGGATTACCCCTTATACCCGTTCTGCTTATACTTTCGAGAACGAAGTATGCCGAAGGTCTGCTGCCGGCCATCCCCGTTCTTTTCTTCGCCACGCATCAGGCGGGCAGTCAGGAGCTGGAGATGGATTTCTGGCCGCCCAGTGCCTCTATGGCGTTTGCTGCGCTACCTTATGCTAAGAGCTTTTACGGTATGGTCTACGAGAAACTTTTTGGGAAATTGGAGAGGAAATGGATTGCGGAGGTCCAGCCCCGTTCGGGGGAGGATGGTCCTGCCGATGGACAGGCCGGAGCTCATGGTGTCGCTGAGATAGGCCATGGCGATATTCTCATGGAGATCGATTTGGAGTTACAACTTGGGCTTGGTGGAGGAAACAACGATGAAAATGCTGCTAATCTACATCCGTTACCTGGAGCTGGTGGAGAGGCCCCTCAGGTGAATGGTGCCGATAATGGCGAAGCTGCTCAAAACCAAGCTGCCGAAGGTGGGGCTGACCAAGGCAACCAAATGCTCGGTCGACGACAGGATGCCATCATCCACGACACCAGCAGTATCGCAGACACGGTTCTAGGGGCGTTGCTATTCCCTGCCATCTCCGCATCGATGGGCGGCGTGCTAAAATTGGCCTTGCCGAAGGCGTGGACAACGGCTCCCTCCGCAGCATCAGGTCCCGTACTTGACAAAGGGAGGGTGGGCTTGCTGCAGAGCAAATGGGGACGGAGCGTGGTTGGAGGGTGTTTGTTTGTACTTTTGAAGGATGCTCTGGTGTTGTACTGCCGGTGGAAGCTGGCTAGTACGCATCGCAAACGAAAGGTCCTGAATTACGATCGGTCGAAGAAGAAGGTTGTGGGCAGTAGGGGGTCACAGTAAATAAACAAAGCATTGAAAGAAAGTACCAAGAGGAATTACTGGTGCCTATACCCAATACTGCACTACAGCTATCTTTAAAACCAATGCTTGAACGCGATTGACAAGTTCTAGGTCGTCCTTTACTTGACCTTTTTTCCCATTACTTTTTGATTTTCTTCAAGTAGGACTGACTCATCCCTATAATTCTCTCACTGTCTACTCTGTCTCTTTTCTTTTTATCAGAGAACCGAACTCCACGATCAGCACGATATCTGTATTCCTAAGCATCTTAACGGCGTTTTTTGCTGGCTTGTTTGCTAATCCAAAGGAGATAACCGTAAATAAAGTGGGCTAGTTTCTGAGACACGATTCTACGAATAGCCTTTTTCTAGGCATAATTCTTTCTTTTCTTTCTTTTTGATTCCCGTCGTTGGTACATTACAGCTAAACAATCTTCTTATCCGACAGTTCCCTAGGCAAGTTCCCAAGCTAGCTACCGCAAAATTTTCAAGATTTTCTACTACAAGCTTCCGCAGCTATTTCTGTCCATCAAGGTGGCTGTGGTGTTCTTGTATGGAAGTGTAAAATGTGGTAAACATACCGTAACATATAAGCGCTTGTGATTCAGGTACGGCGCCTAGCGTTTAATTTGACCAATCATAATTCACCAGTCCGCCCGCCCGGATTACCCAAATTTCCTCAAAACCTTCTCATAAACACCCCAACCCCGACATATCAGAAGAGGCACTCTTGATCACTTTATCTATATACCTCTATCTTTGTGAAATGGAGTGAATTGGTTGCTATGGACCAAAAAATAATTCTTAAAACTTATTATTGAAAAAGGACAATAAACCCATCTCTACCTGCCTCTCCCAATCCCATCATCCACCATATTGGAAACTACAATGAGACAACTCTCCCCCGACCTCGCATCGCTCGCGGGTGTTTTCAAGATTCCAATCACTCGTCCGCACGCACACTTTACGTCCCCATTGTCCTCACCCCAATCGTCAGTATTGTTGTCGTCTTCGTCAAGTCGGGTGTGCGCTCAACCTCAAACATCGGTATTTTCACGGCAATTTTCTGCCGGGCCCTCTTTGTCGGCGAGAAAAGGGAAAAATGATGTTGATAAGCGCGTTAGTAAGTACAGTTTGATGTGTATATGATGGGGGAGTTCGATTGATTGGGACGGGCTGGCGTGGAAGGGTAAGAGAGGAAGACGTTGATATTGAATGTTACCGACTGCTCAGATATGTATGTATACATGTCTCATGTATTCATGGGAGCAACGCAACGGAAACATGCAAAGGAGCGCCAGCCTGGGGGAAACCTCAATATCTCCTCGCATTCGCAATCCCATCCCGACTCCTACTCCCTTCCAACCCCAAACCAAAAAGAATACCATCCGTTAGCAGCCAGAGAAGAACTAACCCACCCACCCCCTTCCAGCTCTAATCCGCTACTTCCTCTACCACCCCCTCACCCCACGCCCTCTCCGCTTCTCCCGGAACCGCTATCTGCGCCACTGGACCATCCACCGCGCCTGGCAACTGTACTGCGCCAAGAAGCGTGAGGCACGCCATCTTGAGCTGGAACGGCAATGGAACAGCATGCGGGATGCGTGTGAGGAGCTGCGCACGGGCGTTGGCGATGACGGAAGGTTGTTCCGTATCTCGATGAATAAAAAGGGTGTTTTCACGGATCAGATACCGATTGAGTATGGGAGGATGCAGACGGAGGGGCCGAGCAAGGAGGGATGGAATTATAATTGGAAGAGGTAGATGGTGGAGTGTGGGGATGTGGTATTGGTGGTGGAGTTTATGGGAAAAGTTGCTGGGATTTGATAGGGGCAATTTTTTTTTTTCTTTTTGTGACCTTTCATATCGTTCAGCGGAGGAAGGATGCTTGCGTTGCATTTTGGACATGCATTGTGGTTGAAGGATTGTATATTACATGGATGCAACACATGTTTCTCTTCGTTCTACGGCTTGTTTTGCCTCTTACTTTCCAAATATATGCATGTACTGCACGTTTCATTATTAGACTATTCTTCCATTTCGTTTCTCACGTTCAAGATACGGCGCTGCTCATTATATTTTATGCGGAGGTATACACTTGGTAACAGGGACATCGGCCTGCTATTTTAGAAACAAACTGACAAAAGCCATGCCAAATCGTGTACAAAATTATACCAACGGAGCAACCCTCGTCATCGACTTCTGCCTGGGAAATCAAATACGTATAGATATGCCTTTGCATGGGTTTTAAACAAACGGCTAGATCCATCCAGTGCTGTTAGATTGGTGCAGTGACCTCAATAGTAGTCTTAGAAATCCAGAAGAAACGGTGAATTAGAATCTGGAACGAGACAGGGGCACATAAAATAGATGAAACAGTAATAATCTCGTATGTAGACAATCATGGGGTTTGATCAGTCGCTGTCGTTCATCACCACTAAGGATGACAAGATATCTAGGTAGGTAATAGGGGAGTGGTAAAACCGACATGTTGAAGGCTATAAACGATGGGAAGATTTTCAAACAGAAAACCAGGTTGGAGATGGGATAAAGGGGAACAAGACCTGGGGGAAAAAGATTTTGAAGGATTGCTTACCAAGCGAAGCAATAACGAAATCAAAGCAAAGAAACGCAAAGGTATTAGTATGTTATAAGGCACACCGCCACATATTTGGGGTAGAAACTCATGCAAAAGACAACAGTTATGTTATAAGAGGAATTGAAAACATGGCACGGCATACAAGAGGAATTGGTTAAGAGAAAGGAGAAAGTAAAGCTTTCAAGAATTCACAAGAAGTAAAGATGTAGAAAGAGGTGTGAAACCGGGAGGGCATCGATGGGGCAAAAGAATGAAGTGAACCGAAAAATTAACATCCAACAATCGAAAGTCAGCCATCGAAAAAGAAAACCCCAAGAACGCCGCGAATGCATGATAGTACTAGTTCGAGTCGAAAAGAGTACGTCGCATATAACATAGAATGTAACTCAGTTTCCCTCTTTTCCTTTTCCACCAGACATTATTTTGCGTAAAATGATACAACCGAAATTTTCGAAAGGGATTATGAAATGAAATATTCGCCGTGGGGCGGGGTGGGGCGGTGATGTGCGAGTAAGGGTTGTTGTTTATTTCCATCGAGCAACAGCGGGAAATAGATTGACTGATGGGCAAGATATAGGCATATAGTCTCATAGGATAACGCAGCAAGATCCTCTGTCCTTTTCAAAAGTTAAAAGAGCTGCGCGGGTTGCAGCTTCGAAAACGTCATCGACACCTTCGCCGGTGAGGGATGAGCATTCTAAATATTTTCTTGCCCCTACCTGGGCTGCTGTGTCGTGGCCTTCCTTCGAGGAAATGAAGCGCAGAGACTTCTTTCTCATTTCTTCAATTGCAAGGGGGTCCTCGCGCAGATCTTTCTTCAAGCCCACCAGTATGATTGGGACATCAGGGCAGCGTTCATTTGCTTCTTCAATCCACTGCGTTATATTAATATATACCAATTATGAGGTAACAAGGGGAATAGATTTGCAAGTCAAGCATGACAAGGGTGGTAAGTTTACCTTATTTCGAACGTTCTCAAGAGAATCCGGAGTATCTACCGCGAACGCAATTAGGAGAACATGGGCTTTTGAATATGCAAGTGGTCGTAAACGTTCGTAATCTTCCTGCCCAGCAGTATCCCATAGAGCGAGTTGGACTGATCGACCGTCAACGCGACAATCTGTTACGTAGTTTTCGAAAACCGTAGGAACCTTTTCGAATGCGCTTTATCGTTAGAAGTCATGGGGTCACAATGGATCATGGATACTTTATATATCGGTTTACACTCACATAATGCTAAGTTTTCACAGGTTAGTTTGACTGAGGGACTCAAAATCTCAAACTGGAGGAGAAGCACTTACAGTCGGGAAATAGCCAAGAGTAAACACACTCAACAGACTTGTCTTACCGCAAGCACCATCTCCTATTATCACCAGCTTCCTGGACGACCAATTATCAGATCAGATCACTAAATCAAATATCAAAATACCGGTCCAAAGGCCTGTAGATCGCGAATATCACCAGCTCCAAAGGTGTTTTCCATCCACATACCTTCTCATGACATTCTCCGTCTGCAGCTGCTGCAGTTGTTGTTGTGCCATGATTTCCAGAAGTATGCATTCACCAAATCAGAAGCCAGCAAAACAACCGCAGCCAAATAATTTGGTAATATACCTCCCCTCAGATGTCTTCGAAGTATTACTTTATTTAAAACCAACTGACGAAAACGGGGCCAGGTTGGTTGGCTAAGCCGAGATGAAGGGTGTTTAAAGTGAAAGGGAGACCGCCTAAATAGGAGGAATGATAGGGACGAGCTGAACGCAATGGATTCGAGGGGGTTGTAATATGCCGAGTCGATTGGGAATGGCTAAACACCAGCTGTTTCGCTTTCTTCAAAAAAGGAAAAAAAAAAAAAAAAAAAAAAGGCACACGAAGCCCGGGAGTGGAGTCACAGTGGGAGGAGAGTCGTTTGGCAACAAGAACAGACCAGCTGCCCGCGTGTGGGAATGTAGGTCAAAGGGAGTCGAGAGACGAGGAGTGGTGAGGTGGGCTGATTGTGTCGAGGGCGAAGGAAAAGAGATAAGAGATGAGATTTATTTATTGAGGGGGGGGGGAGAAGAAGGGGGTCAGAGAACGCGTTTCCAGATACTCAGGAGATGTGATGGGGTTGAGTAAATAGGTATTACGGTAGTTAGTAGTTTCGTTCACGTCGTCCAAGGCCAACGGGACAGGGAAACAGACTGCAGACGGTAGGATTTGAACTGGAGGCCGCTGCAGGTCTTGGGGTGGTGGGGGAGGTTTGTGTGGAAAGGATATATAGGCAAAGAGGTATGTTCAAGTCGGGAGGGAGGATGCTCAGCCAGGGAGTCGGTTGTTGCGGCGAGCGGGCTGGAATTTGGGGTGTTGTTTGGCTGGATATTTAGCTCAGTTTCCCAAGGCCAGACTGGATGAGGTGATGTGATTCGATGTTTTGGCCTCTGTGACGGGCGCAGACGAAATGTTGAGCTGTAAATAGATAACCAACTTCCAGTGGGCTTTAGTAAAGGGAGGGTGAGTCTACTTTAGTGCAGGTAACAACTCGTGAGATAGAACAACATGTATATGTATTGCCTAGGTATATTTTTAAATAACCCAGTCGCTCTCCCACTCCGCTCTAATACATCTTTCAGTCTTGTTTCCTGTTGTTTTGTGTTGCTCTGTAGCATGATGAAATGTATGATGATATCTTCAGGTAATCAGACTACCCGGTATTTAACGTACGGCACTGGCCTTGTACTGTACATACTGTATGGTAACGCCGGCAGGGGTCTTCCCAAAACAGGTTAGTGCTTATCGCCTATCGCGTCTAACTGAAGATCACGTGGGTTAACCTTCAAACCACCCAGACAGAACATTCCACTGAGGTTGATGATGATGATGATGATGATGATGCGATGATGTTTCTGAGGTTGATGATGTCGATGATGCTGGAGGCATAGCTTCAACTCCTCCCCTTACCTGATCATTCTGCCAGCACACAAACAGGTCGATGCCGGGCCCTGATCTCCCCTGATCCCTCAGCTGCGGACTGGCCGTTCTACCCCCAATTCTTCACCACTTCCCTCACCCTCCTCCTTTCCTAAAGTCTCTATCTTCACCCTCCACCTCCTCACTCTCTCCACACCCCATCCGCTCCGACGCCTCTCCCGCCGCAATCCCAACTCCACACCCCATCCACTCGCTGCGGACTCCGTGCCATTCGAGTCCGCTGATCTGAACTGTGTGTACGACCTCTTCTTTCCCGACTCCCCGCCCTTTCGAAATCTCCCCCTTTGATCCATACTGACAGCCTCTTTGCTTCAATAGCACAATGCCGTCCAACTCAAAGCGCCTTGCACCGTCGCCCGCAACCGAACCCAAACATAAACCAGCTACAATCACATCTAAATCTACTGCCCCAAGATCGTCACCTCCAGCGGCTAACAGCAGCAGCTCTGTTGTTGATGATACAATGCAAACCACCGGCTCCAACGCAGCTGCTTTCACGAGACCACCCCTGGATACTGCTGCAAAACGCAACGTTGCGGACCTCGTTGCTACAACAACGACAACAACCACCGCCTCCACCACCACCACGACCATCACTGGCGTAAACAGGAAAAAGCAGAAGAGACGACAGAAACAGGCTGCACGATTAGCTGCTGAACAACGCCTTAAAGATGGCAGTCAATCCCCAGGTGCCGCAAGCCAGAATGGTTACACCCGTAACACACACTGGGATGATCCCGATGACCACCTCCCTTTAAAAGATTATTCCTCTTCCCATCCAAATCAAAACTACTTTGACTCGCATCTTGACGATCCAAACCACTATGACCCCGCAGAAGGCGACGATATCTACTCAACTGATGACGAGGGTCATATTTACGCGCAACCCCACAGCCAATCCCATTTAGATAAATTCAACATGGGTCAGCATTCTGATCTAAGTATGAACAAATCCAAGAAGAAGAAAGGGAAAAAGCATCGATCGACATCCCACTTAGCCGACGGGAGCTCGACGTCACTGCCAACACCATCTGCGTCCGCGGCCCGGCCAGCCCAACCACCTCCGCTATCTAACGCTGCACTTCGATCCGCGCATAAGATATCTAAAGATAGGATATGGAACACGTCGACCCAGGAAGAGCGGGAGAATATAAAGGAGTTTTGGCTTCAGTTGGGCGAAGAGGAACGGAGGTCGCTAGTGAAAGTCGAAAAGGAGGCTGTTTTGCGGAAGATGAAGGAGCAGCAGAAGCATTCGTGCAGCTGCACTGTTTGTGGGAGGAAACGTACAGCCATTGAAGAAGAGTTGGAAGTCCTGTACGATGCATATTACGAAGAGCTCGAGCAGTACGCGAACCACAGCCAAAATTCTTTTGAAAACGGTGGCCCAATCGTCCCTCCCAGGCTATATCAGCCCCCGCTCCGCCCACTAGAGAGGCATTCCCACCTATCAAATAACAAAAATCCGTCACGGGGGAGAGTCCAGGAATTGCCTGACGACGATGAGGAATTGGACGAGGATTATGACGAAGATGATGAAGAAGACGAACCTTACAGCGATGATGAACTTGAAGAGGCTACTCGAAATACCAGGGCCGATTTCTTCGCATTTGGAAACAGTCTGACGGTTAAAGGTGCGCGCTTACTCAAAACATATAGCCCATATGTTGACAGTTGCAGCTAACCTGCATTAGATGGTATCCTCACTGTGGCGGATGACTTGCTTAAAAACGACGGGAAACATTTCATTGATATGATGGAACAGCTAGCTGAACGGCGGATGCAACGTGAGGAAGACACACAGTATGCCGCAGCTTCTGCTGCACATCAATCCCTACATGCTGGCCATAACCACGCACCCCCGCTCGACGAAGAAGATTATGATGACGAGGAAGAAGATGATTACGATAGTCAAGATGATGAGGAATACGAGGAAGATGAGATGGTTTGTGTTAACAACGATGTTTCGATTTTTGGTATAAAGCTAATCCGTCCCCAAAAACGCAGGATGCGATGACCGAAGAGCAACGTATGGAGGAAGGAAGACGAATGTTTCAAATATTTGCTGCTCGAATGTTTGAACAGCGTGTTCTAACCGCATATCGAGAAAAGGTCGCCCACGAACGGCAAATGAAGCTTATTGAGGAGTTAGAAGAAGAAAATAGGCTTGATGTGCAACGGGAGGCAAAGAAAGCTAGGGAAGCTCAGAAGAGAAAGGATAAGAAGAGACAGCAGAAACAAGCAAAAGAAGAGGAAAAGGCAAGAAAGGAGGCTGAGAAGGCCGCTGAAGCCGCTGCTGCGAAAGCTCTCGAGGAGAAAAAGCTGGAAGAGCAACGGCGAAAGAAAGAGGAGCAGAGAAAGAAGAGAGAGGCGGAGAAAAAGGCCCTGGAAGAGGAACGTCTCCGAAAGGAAGCTGAAAAGCAGAAACGTCTTCAGGAGGAACGTGAACGCCAGGCTGAGTTAGAACGGAAGCAGCGAGAGCAAAAGGAACGGGAGAAAAGGAAACGGGAGGAAGCAAAGAAGAAAGAGCGGGAAGAGCGGGAAGCAAAAGAACGCGAACTTCGAGAGAAGAAGACGAAGGAGGAAAAGGAACGCAAGGCTCGGGAAGAACAAGCCAAGCGTGAGAAAGAGGCTGCGCTCAAGGCTGAACGTGAGGCAAAGGAGAAAGAGCGGGTTAAACGCGAAGAACAAGCTGCCCAGGCTGCTCAGGCCGCAACCACTCAAGCTGCCAAACGGATGTCCCAAACAGGGCCAACGCATCTCCCTCCGGGACTTCAGCATCCACAGGGGCCTTCAGGCCTGCAGTCGCCACATTTCCAGGTTGCCACACCAGTCGTACCGAAAGCTCCAACTCCTGTTCGTCCACGTCAAACATCTCAACAAGGATCCCATGCCTCTTCTCCTAGATCTCAACCCGCCGGGACTGATACTTCCCAGTCCATTTCTCCTGGAAATGCTAGTGCACCGCACTCATCAGGCGGCTCAAGTTCGGTTTCTACCAAGTCCCATGTCCCGACCCCGATGCTCCATCACCCTCAACCGTCTGCTCCCATGTCACCGTTGGGCGGAGTAGGTCGTAGCCCGCATTCTCTGGGGTTCAGCTCAATGCCTGCATTAAATGGAATACCGTCCAACATCGCCGGATTGCCAGGAATTACGTCCCGTCTTCCCTTGGGCCATGAAATTCCAATGTATCCAAACCAACAAGCTCCCCTGGGTGCGCAGTTCAGAGGCTTTCCATCTCCAGATGGCATACCAATGGCTCCAGGAATAAATGGTGCGAGACCGATGATCCCTGGTCGCGGGTTTCCTCTGGAAACTGGCCACGGGTTGCCATTCCCTCCAACAGGACCTGGGCCGATCTCCTCTCCGCAGCAACCTCAGGTACCTCGAGAAACAGGACGAGGTCAGACACACTCAAGACAAGCATCAGCATCCTTCGACAGAAATCCACTAGAAGCTCAACCCCAGAATCAGCCCATATCTCGACCCGCTCCGATTCAGCGCCCCTCGAGTACTGCCCCTCATGATGCCCCACGAGACCAATTGAAACCGGGAGAGTCAGAGATTGACGATT